GGATGGTCAGATTTCTYCTTCCAGCTCAGCAGGAGGGGTGARGGTGCCCTGTGCAGCACCCCCACTCCTTCCACGAAGGGCTTTAGGCKGCATTAATGGAGAAATGGGTGCCCAAAAGGCTTCCTGTGCCCCCCCCCCYCTCCAAAGGCAGCCCCTCTGCCTCACCTTTGGTACCGCAGCCTGGAAAACAAAGTCTGTCATGTCCACCTCAGTGTTGTTGGAGGCCTGTATTGTGATCACGGTGATGCTGGGGTTGGTGTTTGACCGCTCAAAGGCAAAATCAATCTTCAGGCCGTTCTTGTTGTAGGCAGTGATGGGAGGGATGCCTGTGGAGAAGCCATGCTGCTCAGGCCCGGCCCCTCTGCCCCTTGGGTTTCATCCCTAGACTGCACAAGTCTCTTGTGTCATCAAGTTTCCAGACCTCAATGAGTAGCTAGGCTCAAGATGGGATTCCTCCCCCACATTCCTATGCATGTTTACCAAAAGGGCTGTGTCTTTACTCTTTGTCATTGCCGCTGCCTCCTCCCTCTTTGAAGATGTAGCAATGGAATCTTTGTGAGGGAGCTTTCTTTATAAAAGTATTTTTATTTGCCTTGGGCTGGCCATGTGGCCATTCCTCACGATTGTCTCGTCTGCCTTTCCTTCCTTCCAGTGGGGATGCACATTTTTCCTCTCTCTCTAGGCAAAATGTAGCTGCATGGATTTTTTGACTTTATACTCCATTACCTTTCTTAGAAGATGTGATTTAGTAAGCTCCAAGACCTTTTCTTTCTAGAATGCATATCTTTTACTTCAATACATATATTCGAACCTGAAGCCGGAGGTTTGGCACAGCTGGTAAATCATCAGCAACTATAAGATCTATCAACCAAAAAGTTGCAAGTTCAAAGCCCCGGGTCAGTGTGAGCGGCCAACCGTCAGCCCTGCTCACTGTTTACCTAAGCAGTTCAAAAACAGCTTTAGTTGTAATTAGAGGAATTAGGTACTACTAAAAGCGGGGAGGTGTTTTACAATGCCATAAAGAAAAAGAAGATCAGAAATGCTGGAATGAGGAAGTCCTGATGGCTCTTTGTCATAGAGAATGGAGTGACAGCACCCCCTGTGGACTCAAGCCCAACCATCCATGGCATCGAAACAACACCTCCTTCTGTGTGCTTTCTGTCTGTGTACTGTCTATACAAATGGCATTGGATGTTTGCCGTGTATGTGTACTTGTGATCCGCCCTGAGTCCCCTTCAGGGTGAAAAGGGCAGAATATAAATACAGTGTTATTATTATTTATTATTAATTTCTGACTCTGCAATCCTGTGCCACCCTAAATAAATAAATAAATAATATTATTAAGTTCTGACTCTGCAATCCTGTGCCACCCTATGGAGTAAAAGCTTATCCTAGCTCACCATATATAAGGTTCTTCTGGTTATGAAGTTTATTTCTGGTACTCTGCTATATTTATGGTAGGATCACCCCAAATGAGGGTTATTTTTGAGCCTAAAAGCTGAGATTCCCTAACACCTGGGCACCGGACAGCACCCAAACAAGGATTGGGAAAGGAGGGATGCACCCAGAGATAGAGGATGAGGCTCCCTGTGTGTGCAGCTCCTCCCTGTGCTCCCCCCCCCCCCACAAGCCGGACCCATCCATCCTTCCTACCAGCAGCAGCGATTTCGTTGAAAATGGGTGGGGAAGAAAGGCCGTCTAACAGGAAGGGGGGCTGCGAGATCTGTGGGGCCGGGACCGGAGGACCTAGGCAGCCACAAGGGAAAGAGAACCGTGAGCATCTCTGTGACCCCACATGCCTCCTGCAGTAAACCCAAGGTCCTCTATCACCCTGAGCAACTTGCTCACCTGTCGTGGGGTTGAGGTCCCCTAAGAGGTCTAGGAGTTCCCCTCCGGCAGAGGCCGGCTTAGTGGGGGGTGCTGTCGGGATAACCAGCGAGATGTCGTTGCTGCCTAACAGGTCGAGCAGATCATTGGCCTGAAGCGAAACATAAAACCTGCTGCAAAAACTGGAGGGCAGAGACCAGCTGTCCAGAGGGGCTTGGCCTCCGGGGCCCAGCACACAACAGCAGCCCGATAGCCATAACCCTCTCTCCGTTGCTGGATGCCTCTTCCTCTTACCTGGCTGGTGGGCTGCAGGCTAGTGGGGGGTGGCTTAGTCTCCAGAACAGTCGGTTCGCCCTCCCCACCGTTGGGCTGAGTGACATCAGTGGGCCCATTGGTGGTCACTTTCTCCATCACAGGCATCCTCTCCAGGAGGGCTGGCCTGCAAGAGGAGAGGGCCATTACCACTAGTGAACTACATTCTTGGGTGGTGGTGGGGATAATAGAATTATAGAGTTGGAAGCAACCTTGTGGGCCATCCAGTACAAACTCATTTTGCCAAGGAGCAGAAAAATTTCATTCAAAGCATCCCTGACAGATGGCCATTCAGCCTGTTTAAAAGCCTCCAAAGAAGGAGCCTCCACCACACTCCAGGCAGAGAGTTCCACTGCTAAACAGCTCTCACAGTCAGGAAATTCTTCCTAATGTCCTCTAACCTCTCAGGTCCCTGAGCACAAGCCACCCACACTGGCCCTTCTGGGTCTGCGCTCAGCCACCACTAGGCAACACCCAAGAGAGCCCACCGCGCCTCCAGAGACCCCAGAAAAGGGCGAGACAGGGCCCTGAACAGACGCTGCCCTCTTCTCATCCTGCCGTTGCCTGGCCCAGGCTCAAATGCGCAGGCACGCACCTCATGTGGTCGTACTTCTTGAACAAGGCATTGTACTCCACTGCCCTCTGCTGGAGCTCCACATCAATGCTGCTGCCGTAGATGGAGACCACCTTCTTGATGCGGCTGAAGGAGCAAGAAAAGGGATATGGGGAGAGTAGGACTGGGGAGCCACTACAGAGATCTGGCTGCAGCAAGGAAGACTGAGGGGCTCCCTCTCAGCCAACTGACTTGCCTCTTCAGGAAGAACAAGGAGGCCCATCCACCCAAATGGAGCACTTTCTTGGAAGGAAAATACGTGTCCTAGTTTGCCACTCCTGTCTTCCAGGTGAGGTCTGGCCCCAGCTGCTCCCAGTACCACTCCTTGAGCCCCCCCTTCCTTTCCCTTTGGAGCCACTCACTTGACTGTGCAGGTGAACCGTGTGGAGAGCTTCATGATGGCTGTCAGGGCATAGCCCCGTGTGACAGATACCGACATGTTTGAGACAAGAACACCCTCCAAAACATCGAGGACCTCATCCTCCGTGACCTGAGCAAAGTGGGAGGCGAGAGCTCAGGTCAGATGCCAGTGGCACCCCTCGGGTGGAAACATAGGGTAGCCAACTAAGACTGGACACCCCTTCTCCCTACCTGGATGGGCTCCTCCTCCTCACACTGGCCAGAAACCAAGAGGTCCCCATACTCCCCGATGCACCACGAGGCCACCTGGACCAGGGGTTGCTGCAGGATGGATGAGAAAAAGGAACGTTCATCAGCTTAGCTCTGCCAACACCAACCTGCCCCATTGCCGCCCCACACCCCTCTCCCTTTCAGCACTGACTTGGGAGTAGTCGCCCAAGATGGCTTTGTAGAGCTTCTGCACAGTGTACGCATGCATCTCCACGCTATTGGTGATGAGCTGGATGAGGTTGGGCACAGCGTCATCGCGCACATAGCTCCCTGCCTGGAAGGTGGAAAGTGGGGACAGAAACATGGAGGGGGGCTCAGGAGTCACAGGGAAAAGCCACTGGGCCACCAGCCCACATGGCTTTGGGGCCAGAGCCAGGAGCAGCACTCACCGTTGTCAAGACGCGCATGATGGTGTCTATGTGCCACCGCTTGGAGGGAGCATACCTGGGAAAGCAACCAACAACATGAGACCCAGATGAGGATGCTGCCCCCACCTCGCCACTTTAAGTGGGATCCCTGCATTTCTTGAGGGAAGGGGTGTCAGAAATATTAAAATTTTACTAGGTATATTTGATTACAAAAGTGTGAATCAAGCACCAAAAGAGTAGATAGGCCAAAGCCTGTTAAGAGTCACAGGGCCAAAGCTAGTGTTGTCCTGAGGAGTGTCAGGTAAACCTCTGTGTGAGAGAAGCCTTGTGTGAGAAAGCTCGTGTGAAGGCTGCTGTATGTACTGCAACTATGTATTTGTTTATTTGCGTGATGGAAACCTTGTTGCTGTAAATACTGCAATCATATTATTTTGCTATAAATAAAAGCCTACTATGAAAGAGATAACATCGGTCTGTGCGTTTTTGTTTTCTTGTCACTTTCAGCTACTGGTGCTGGGCCACGCTGCTACTGATAAGTTACTCTGCTGTGCATTTGTTAATAAGCCTACTCCCCTACAGAGTGCATGACTAGAGGAGCAGGAGAGTTGGCCACCCCAAAGGCTGAGTGAAAGAAGGGTACGGGAGGAATGATTCTTGCGAGAAAGTGAGGAGAAATAGAGGTGAAAAGTGTGTTCAGAGTCAGTTCCCATCCTGCCTGAGACAGCGCTGGCCCGGATTCCGTCCCCTGGCACTACAGCACAAGCAGGGGGCCAGGAAGCAGCTGGCTGAAGAGTGAGAGCAGAGGAAGGGGGCTGCTGGCCACCAGAATCAACCCTTCGAGCCCCACTGGTGTCTTCTGCCCTGGGAAACATCATCAGGTGGGCAGGTGGAGAGGAAGGCAAAGGAACAGGCAAGGAAACCCATAGGTGCTGGGAGGACATTTGTAGGGGGACATCTTACTTTTCTGCTGCCAGAAATATCCCCGACGCACAATCAGCTTTGAATTCTGGCTCACAGGAGTCCAAGAAGTACAGCAGCTCCTTCATCATGCCTCGGATGTTGTTGCCGTTCACCAGAGCAAAGCTGAGTTCCATTGCTCGCCTGGGAAAAGGGGGAGGAAGGGACTCAGGGGTCACGGCTCTGGACCAAAGGAGGCGGCACGGGGAGGGGCCACTTCCTGTCTCCCTGCTCCTTGTAAGAGCTGGCCCACTCAGCCCTTGGGCACACAGCGGAGAGGGGCAGGCTGCAGGTGTGCTCCGTCAGATGCATGAGTTTCACCATTGCACTGGGCACTCTGCCGATGGATCACTCTCAGGCTTCATCTTCCAAGAGCACAGCCGGCCCAGGCAGGTTTCCTTAAAGCACTGCCAAGATGCTCCCACTCCCCACGTACCACCTGTCTCCATGCTGAACCCCACCAATGAACCAAAGTGGCAAACATTACTGGTTGGTTGGCTGGCAAAGTTAGAATGCAGACAGGAGAGAGGGCTGGGCAGGCCTTTTGGTCCCTGGCCCCATCTGGCTCAGGTCTCACCGCTCACCGTTTGATGGAGACATCCAGGTCCTTCAGGCAGTCAACAATGGTACTCCTGTGACGCTGCACAGCATTGTGGTCTGTCTGCACTGTCTTCAGCAGGGAGGTCAAAGCAACATATCTGGGGGGCGGGGGGGGGGGGGAGACCTGCTATATCAGACAATGGCAGCAGCTCACACATTTTTGCTGGCAGATCAAGAAAGTAAAGTGTTTGAAGATGGAGCCAAGTGCCAAGCCTTCTCAGCCAGCAAGCTAGGCAGAAGAGGTGGAGCCCCATGGCTACCCAGGAGACTAACCGCCATTGGCTGCCCCTCTGAGTGAGAAAGCAGCAAGGGAGCTACACTTGCCCCCATCCTAACCCCTCACCACAAATGGCCAATGTTGCTCCTGGGACAATAAAGGAAAATGGGTTCCCTGGGACTGCAAAGACAAGTATCCACTGTTACAGTAATACAAAAGTTTTGAATGTCATTAGACATATATTTAGTTCAATGCATCAATATGAATTAAGGACAATTATTGTGTATGAAACGATGAGCCTATTCATCTGAAGAATAAGAAAATTATTTTTACTGTGAATATAACAGTTTTATGTTTTATTGTATACCAATACCTTTATTTATGTTTGTATAACTACCTGGCTTTGAATTTATATTGATGCACTGAACTAAATATATGTTTAATGACATTCACATCTGCCCTTTCGCTATGCTACTCTGCTGCTGAGCATGCCCAGTGTGGAACACATCTCACCACACTAAAACAGTGGATGTGGCTCTTAATGAAACATGCCGCATTATCACGGGGTGTCCGCACCCTACACCACTGGAGAAATTACACTGCTTAGCCGGTATTGTACCACCTGACATCCGCCGGGAAGTAGCAGCCAATAGTGAAAGGACCAAGGCAGAGACATCTCCAGCTCATCCCCTGTTTGGGTATCAGCCAGCACGTCAACGACTTAAATCATGAAATAGTTTTCTAAGATCTACAGAGGCACTCGCTGGAACACCTCAGCAAGCGAGAGTCCAAAAGTGGCAGGCTCAAACCCAGAACCTCAATGGCTGATACCAAATGAGAGACTCCCCCCTGGGCACACAGAAGACTGGGCGACTTGGAAGGCGCTGAACAGACTGCCTCTGGCACCACGAGATGCAGAGCCAACCTTAAGAAATGGGGCCACAAAGTGGAATCCACGACATGCGAGTGTGGAGAAGAGCAAACTACAGACCACCTGCTGCAATGCAACCTGAGCCCTGCCACATGCACAATGGAGGACCTTCTTATAGTAACACCAGAGGCACTCCAAGTGTCCAGCTACTGGTCAAAGGACATTTAATCAGCTACCAAGCTTGGAAACTTTGTATTTGTTTGTTTGTTTAAAAATGCAGTACACCTGTTTGTTTTGCTCCTGACACGATAAATAAATAAATGACATTCAAAAATTTTTGTATTATTGTAACAATGGCTCCTGGAGCAATCCCAGGGAGGCAGACCTGACCAAGCCACAAAAGGTCTCCCAGCTTGTTGGGTCATTCAATGCCTTACCTGATATTTTTGTCATTATTAAGTAAGAACCGTCCTAGAATGTTAATGGCCAGCACCTGGAAAGGGAAAAAGAGCAGGAGGGAGACATCAGAAAGAAAAGTGACCTCGTGTCTCCAGCCAAGCACCTCCTTCTCCCACTCTACAGTAAGAAGCCTGTAGAGTCCTGGGTCCCCCTCCCCAAACCCCTCCCCCAGGTTCCAGGAGCTCAGGGAACCTACGCGAAGGCCGCTCTCAGACTTGATGTCCATGATGGTTAAGACTGTTTCGTAAAGGATGGCGTTGCCCACGTTTTTACTTGTTTCAGTGTTTGTGGCCACCTGGAACAAGACAGAAGAACAAGTGGTCCAGCTTCCCTTTGTGGCCTGACTCCTCTCTCCTGCCTCCCTCAGCATCCTCTGCACCACAGCTCACCTGTGCAAGGATGTCGTTCATTGCTTCACTTGAGTCATCATCATTTCGGCCCAGGATCCTCAGCAACCGCAGGATCCGCACCTGAAAGGTAGCCAGATTGCCACATGAGCTTTGGTAGCCACAAAGGGGTCAGTCAGGTCCTGCATTGCAGCTCAATACAGAGGGTGAACAGGGCTTCCATTTTATGGGAAGCCATGGAGGTGGGGCAAGGGTGACAGTCTGTGTCCATATTCCATACCTGCAGAAAGGGGTCACTGATCCCAGAAACGTCATGTTCCGGAGAGTAGCCAGACATGATGAGATTCTTCAGGATACGAACAAGCTGGGGCACAAGCTGTAGGAAGCAAACAGCCGTGAGGCAGATCACACTAGGGAGAGGGGTGGGGAATGGGTTTCAGACCAGCACCAGCTCAGCCCAGGGACAGGTGTTGAAACAATAAATGAAAAGCATTGGTGTGACTGTTAAGATCTTCTGGGAAAGTCCTGCTCTCAGTCCCGCCTTCATTGCAGGTGCGTTGATGGGGCCAAGAGACAAGGTCTTCCCGGTGGTGGCCCCGTGGCTGTGGAACTCCCTCCCCAGTGACATCAGAACAGCCCCCTCATTCAAACTTCAGGAAGAATCTCAAGACCTATCTATTTAAGCAACCCTTTGGGGATTCATATGACCCATAAATATGACGGAAGAATGGAAAAGCAATTGGCTCAATGTTGACAAAGTTCAGTTGGTGCTAGACTTTTGATATGTTTTAATCGTTTGAAATACTATTTTAATTGATATGTACATGTTTTTCACAGTTTTATTAATATTGTTACTGTCTGAATCTGGCATTGAAATATGCCCATAGTTTCTAAGTCGCCCTGAGTCTCCTTCAGGGATAAGAAGGGCGGGATATAAGCACAGTAAATAAATAAATAACAACGACTGAGGCAGAAACTTCATGGTCAATTAAAACATGTTGAGTATTTCAAGTACAAATATCAGCGGACTAATAAGCAAAAAGGGTCCATGTTGCAAGTGCCACCTGCCCTCTTGGGACACAAGTGTACCTTTGTGTGTTGAGAATTCTGTCTTAAAATACAAGACAATGAAGTGGCTCAGATCTGCAAAAACTGGGCAGTCTTGGGAGGGACCTTTGCCGGCATAACACTAAAGAGCCCTGAGCCTCTCATACCACCACTTCCCCAGGAACATGCCAAATGGAAAAATGGAGCAGGGGGACACCTTCCAACATCTACTCTGCTCAAGATACCCCTTCCTTACAGTACACTGCCATCAAAAGCCCATCCCTGAATTATACTTTCCACACCAACCCAGACACCCCCGTCGCTTGAAAGGGCTCCAACGGCAGAACAGAGCCCCACAACCCAACACGGATAGACTCAAGCACAGGCATGTTAGGTCGTGGGAGTATTAATGCACAAAGCAACAGACAGGCACTGGCCTCAGCACTGGCGTGGGGGAGGGCGGGACTGGACTGGACGGACGGATCAGGCAAGCATGCACCAGCAACCGGGCGGGGCGGGGGGGGGGGGGGAGAGAGAAAGGAACGCGCATGTGCCTCTTACCTTCTCATTCTAACAAACCACCACAGCAGGATTCCAAACAGACACAGAAGGGACAAGAGAGATGGAAGCAGGTGTTAGGGAGAGGAGTGGCTGGGCACCTCGCAGCTTCTTCCTCCGCCATTACCGGCAAAGTAACAGGGCGATGCCTGATGCACAGTTGCACTCACTACTTGCTCTCCTTGGCCCAGCAGCTCCCCAGCAGCAGGAGTCCCAAGGCTGGGGTCTCATAGTTTAGCAGGGCCCTTTGGCTCTGGCAGCCAAAGCCAGCGAAGCAGCCACCCCACTCCCCCACATATCTCATTCTCACCCCCCCTCCCCCTGTTCCACCCCGCCACACGGAGAGGCCAAGCAGCAGGGGCCCAAGTCACCCACAGCAGGAGAGACGCGCAGAGGAAAGAAGGAAGGGTGGCCCCAGAAGGAGGCAAGTGGCCTTCCTCCCGGAAGTCCAGGCCCAGCAGCAGCAAAAGCCCAAGGGCCAAGGCAGGGGAGCGGCCGTGGCCAGAGCTCAGACTGACCTTCCTGAAGTGAGCCAGCATGTCTGGGCTTCTCTCGCACATTTCTGTGAGAAGGACAACTGAGGTGTGAAGGACTCCTGCCAGGAAAGAAGAGGGGCATGTCTTGAGGGACCATCCTAGGGCACAGCACCAGAGCCGAGATGAGGAGGGGAGGGTCTCAAGGCAGCAGTGGAGCAGTAAAGGAAAGTCTCTGAAGAGGCAGGGAGCACACATTCCTCCACCCACCCCACCCACTAAAGAATGACCTGGATCGCCTCCAGAGCCCCCTATCACCCCTAAGCTGAGCTCAGCTAGGAACAGCCATAGGGAGGACACTAGCCCCTGGAGCGCCCCAGCTTTCCTTCCAGGTTAGGGGCAGCAGCACCTCAAAGCAGGATGGGGCTTCCCCTGACAGTCAGTCTGCACCACACTCCCACCAGGGCAGGCCAAGCCCCTCCCCCTCCTTCTCCTCCTGTTAGCCACTTCCCACAGCTGGCATTACCATGATTCTTCTCGTTCAGGAGGTTCTTTGTAGCTGGCAGAAACATCTCCATGAGCTCAGGCACCTTCCGGATGACGTGAACCGCGCAGAGGGCTGCCTATGGAAGTGGCGGGGGGAAGAGGGAAGGAGGAGGCTCAAGTCTTTCCTATTTTGCTGGAAGACTGCCCGCTTCTCCGTCCCACAAAGGAGCAGAGCACTTGGTTGGTGGGGGAGGAAGGAAAGGAAGGAAGGAAGAAAGGAAGGAGGAGAAAGAAAGGAGGGAAAGAGGAAAAGAAAGGAAG